TCCTTTGCCGATGCAGGACCCTCACTTCTGAGCCGGGACATTTATGAACATTTAACAACATTCATAATTCTCTAATTCTCTAATCTAATCAGTGAATCCACAACTTTGCTCAGTCCTCGCAGACCTCCACACACACACAGACACAGCGAGCTAAAGTCCGGGTCTGGACGGGTCTGGGCGGTTCTGACCGGGCTGGGGCCGGGTTTATTGGCAGAATTGACTAATCTTGATGGGTTTCTTTTCCCCCCCACAGTGATTTGTCAGGACTGATGAGTCTCACAAGACAATTTAGTCCATTCAGTCGCGGTGCCACCGAGTCTGTCCGGGCTTATCACTCACAATCTGCAAATAAACAGCACGCCGCACACGTTACGTCAGTCCCAGCGCCATGATCCGCTCCAGGAATGTCTTTGAAGGACTCCTAATGAACCTCCGCCGTTTCCAGCCCGAGCAGAGGACTGTGTGCTCCTGTATCGCCAAGGTTATCCATGATTCTCCACATGCAGACAATCAAAGCACAGAGACCAGAGACCAGACCGAGAAGAGAAGCCGGACTTTGGGGCTGAAAGGGTCTGCGGACCGCGGCCGTGATCCAGGACGTTTGTGGACCTTGGTATTTCAAACGGTGATTATATTATTGCATGAATCCACAATTTTGTTGAGTTTCCCGTTGGGTTTTTAGACACTTTCTTTGTGGATGCAGAAGGGTCTTGAACCTGTAGCTCTGGAGCCACTAGTAGCTCTCCACCCCCTTCCAGGTAGCTCACCAAAGGATTTAGAAAAGAATACAAATAATACACTAAAGATTCTATTATTCATTATCATTGGGTTATTCTTGTAAACGCACTGACTCTGAGTATTATAGTAGCACATATGTGATGATAAATAACAACTGTACCAATTTCAGGCTCGTTCACACCAATATTTCTGAAAGAATGCCCCCGGAGCCGCTTAAAAGAGTAGCTCTCTGCCTTTATCGACCCAGGAAAGTAGCTCTCTGGATGAAAAGAGACACTGGTCTAAGGACACTCCACATTCAACATTTATGGACATTTATCATCTGCTCCTTATTGACCAATGACTCCCTCTGGTCTTTCTCTGTGGTGTCTCTCTCTGCTTTCTCCCTCTGGTCTCTCTCTGGTTTCTCTCTCTGATCTATCTCTGGTCTCTCTCTGGACTCTCTCTGTTCTCTCTCTGCTCTCTCTCTGGTCTCTCTCTGGTCTCTCTCTCTCTGGTCTCTCTCTGGTCTCTCTCTGGACTCTATCTGGTCTCTCTCTGGTCTCTCTCTGGTCTCTCTCTGGTCTCTCTCTGGTCTCTCTCTGGTCTCTCTCTGGTCTCTCTCTGGACTCTCTCTGTTCTCTCTCTGCTCTCTCTCTGGTCTCTCTCTGGTCTCTCTCTCTGGTCTCTCTCTGGTCTCTCTCTGGACTCTATCTGGTCTCTCTCTGGTTTCTCTCTCTGGTCTCTCTCTGGACTCTATCTGGTCTCTCTCTGGTTTCTCTCTCTGGTCTCTCTCTGGTCTCTCTCTGGTCTCTCTCTGCTCTCTCTCTGGTCTCTCTCTGGTCTCTCTCTCTGGTCTCTCTCTGGTCTCTCTGGTCTCTCTCTGGTCTCTCTCTGGTCTCTCTGGTCTCTCTCTGGTCTCTCTCTGGTCTCTCTGGTCTCTCTCTGGTCTCTCTCTGGTATCTCTGGTCTCTCTCTGGTCTCTCTCTGGTCTCTCTGATCTCTCTGTTAGTCGCATGTTTTTTTGTCCTCTATCATATTTGTAGATCATCTTTTTCAAACAGGAAAATGAAAAACACTTAGATCTTTCCGTTGAGATAAACAAAGTGTGACAAATATAAATCCAAAGTGTTTTTTAATCCGTACATTTCCTTTGTTTGGACTGAGTTTGATTTTCTGATCTGCTGTCGGCGAATCTGACGTCTCTGAAACTGCTCCGAGATGCTTCTGTCAATTATGATGAATTGACTTGAAGATTTTCCGTACATTCGCACTATTTTGACCGTGAACGCTGCATTTCCGTGGATAAGTACCCCCCAGCCCCACAGCCCCATGGCCCCATAGACCCACAACCCCACGGCCCCCCAGCCCAGAGAGCCCTAACCCTGTAAACATTTTTACAGGAGCCAGTATTGACCATTTTAGGACATGCTTAGGGATATGAGTCTGAGTGTTGAGGCTCTCTCGTCCATGAGACCTGAGGCTGCTGCAGGAGCGGATGTGAGCCAGAGAGGAAGCAAGAATTTGGGGAAAATTCTGAATAAAAGAGTGAATGAAAGAGTGCATAATAAAAGCAGCCGTTTGTGTGAGGCCGGTGTGGGGATGGGGAAATGGGTCGAGCAACAACACACATGTCTGTGTCCGGGCCTTCTGCACAAGAGGTCCAACAAAACATCACCAACATTTCTCCATCAGAGAGAGACCAGAGAAAGACTAGAGACCAGAAAGAGAAAGAGACCAGAGAGATCAGAGAGAGAGATACCAGAGAGAGACCAGAGACCAGAAAGAGAGAGAGATCGGAGACCAGAAAGAAAGCAAAGAAAAAGAGAGACCAGAAAAAAACCAGAGAGAGCCCAAAGATAGATCGGAAAGGGAGCAAAGAGAGAGACCAGAGAGAGACCAGAGAGAGAGACCAGAGAGAGACCAGAGAGAAAGACCAGGGAGAGACCAGAGAGAGAGAGACCAGAGAGAGACCAGAGAGAGAGACCAGAGAGAGACCAGAGAGAGAGAGACCCTCAGACAGCCAAAACAAACCAGGATATTTCTTCTGATCTGGTACACACTAGTTCTTAAATCTCGGCAGAAAGTAAAACCTTAAATCCACCTTGCACCACGGCAACACGTCACTCACGTCACTCACGTCACTTACGTCACTCACGTCACACACGTCCAGGTTCTGTCTCTATCTTTACGTATTTAAAAACAACCTTTTCCACAAACTGCAGAAATATTAAAAATGTAACAAACCATCACAGCATTTATTTCAAAAAACAATTCTTTAGAAACTCAAAAATCCTTTGTCTGTCATAAGATGTCTATTGCAAAATGTCTATGATGTGTACTTACTGTGTACTTACTGTGTACTTAGTGTATACTTAGTGTGTACTTAGTGTGTACTTGTATATAGTAGTATTTTTAAGATTTGGAGGAAACATAATGGAGGTTTTTCCGCGGCTCTTACCTTTATACTCTCCTTTAACTTGTTTGCGTCTTGAGCCGAAGTAAAATCCTAGTTTGTGACTTCCTGTTACTGACAATATCAATAAAAAAAATCTTGTTTTTTTAATTATAAATAATTAGATGTGAGGATTGTTTTGAGGTCCGCGTTCCCACAGAGAGGACGGTCCGTGTTTGCTCTGTGGCTCTCGCGTTTACCCGTGAGTCAAACAGCATAAACCCAGACCGTCCTCCTGGAAAAACGACCATAGAGGTCGATTCTACAGTTCCCAAACACGACTCTATTTTACGTATGCGACTCCTAGTGGTTTGTATTGAAAAGCTGGGAGCACACGTGTGACGCATGACGTTTCCTTACGTACGTCCATCAAGTGGTAAACAAGGAAGTTGTTGTTTCTACGGAGGTAAATACATTTGTACCGTTACCTAAATGTTTCGTTATAGCATATTTTAAGAACAGATTATATATTTACCAGAAACAATAACCCTAACCCTAACCCTAACCCTAACCCTAACCCTAACCCTAACCCTAACCTAACCCTAACCCTAACCCTAACCCTAACCCTAACCCTAACCCTAACCCTAACCCTAACCCTAACCCTAACCCTAACTATTGTGAGTGTTGGAGACTGTTAGGAGGATAGAACAGGATGGCGGCTGGTGTGTGCATTGTAATGCGCATTGCGCAATATGACACTTGCGCAGATGAATTGTTTGCAGTTCTGACAGAATGTGATGCTGTTTGTAAACGCGTCCCTGGGTTTGCTGCGTCGCGTGACCATACACTGAAAAATAACGACCATTTAGGCCGCAGCGAAGCGAAGCTGCCCAACCAGGCAAAAAAAACGCCCAAATAGACCGATTTCAGAGTTGTGACAATCGACCCATATTGTCGTTTGTGTATCGACCCATATTGTCGTTTGTGTATGAGGACGTGTAGCAGAAACCACGCTCTGAGGATTTAGAAACGGGGACTAAAAAAAACAGGGGGGTGTGAAGACTTTTGCACGAGGGATTCTTCAATGAAACTGAGTCAAATGTCCACTGTGTTTATTTTAAAAACAGTTCAAAATGAGTTCAGAAATCTCCGTTTCAGAATTCGTCTGAAGTCCTTCCTCCCGCGACACTGTTGCTGTTTTGTTATAAAATAATTTGCTTAAAAATGCGTGAGTGTGTTTTTGTGACGCACTGAATCTGGCTTTGCACAAAAACAGTCAGAAAAACTCAGAAAAGCGCAGTTTGACACTTTTCTGTTTCTGCAAATTATTTAAATATTCTCGTTGGAACATATCAGACATTTCCAGGACAGACATAATTTTGCTTATTCTGGATTATACAGGATTATACCGGATTACTGTTGTATTTCTCTCACAGTCCAAGCATCCGCAGTAAAAATATAATAATCATTCTTTAGAAACCAGAAGGAAAAAACAACAGCGTTTTTAAGTCACATCGAACTCAATGAGACGAAAGGGATTCTGAGTCGGTCCTTTATCTTTAGTGCAATAAAGAAACACAGTAAAACATGTACACACACACACATATATATAAACTATACGTGTGTGTGTCGAGTGCAGATATATGATTTATAAAAGTGTAATAACAATCACACAGAACACGACGAGCCACAGACGAAAGACTTGACGCTAAAATGTGAAAATGTGATTTGAGAGAATAATAAATCCATGTATTCAGAGAAACAGAGAAACACAATGTGGAGCAATAGAGACGTATTTGACAGGAGCGGGAGGGAAGCCGCCCGTCCCACCGCATCTCTCTCTCTGAGCTCTGAAGCACCGAGAGAGCGCGTCTCTAACGATGTTGACATGTTCTCACGGCAGTCGGTGGTGTTTCACGGGACACACAAAAAACCCCTTCCTAGTTTCCAAACACCTTTTTATAAGTCCGAAGCCTCTTCCCCTCCACCCGACCTGTCAAAACCACGCCTCCACCACCACACAATTGGTCCGTACGCGTCAAAGAGCCAATCAAACGTGGCGCCGCGGCTCCTCGTTACGCACGGACACATCCACACCGCGCACACGGACGGCCCGCAGAGGCGCCAGGAAAATCACGGAGCTGGGACCTTACCACCTCTCTCTCTCTCTGTGTGCACGGACTTCTCCCCTTCTGCTCCTCTCTCTGCACACGTCCTCGCTGCAGTGACTGTGAAATGTGTGCGCGCACTCGGCTCTCCTTTGCGCGTGTGTGAGAAGAGAGAGGGCGAGGGCGCACGACTTCGCTCCAACTCCAGGCGCTGAAGGAGGGATTACGCTCTCTCTGTACCGAATATTTCAACACATTGAAGGTGGAAGCAGATCGCGCCGCGGTTAATCGACCAGAGTTTTTGTATTAATATTTTGTATTATTTTTTTAATATTCGATCCATGTCCAAGACGCGCGGCCAGAGAAAGGTGTCCCCGCCTCGGAAGACAGCCAGCCCGCGCACGTCTGTCCTGCCAAGATCTATGGAACATTTCTGACACTTGTGGACACTTGGATTTGTTTTTCTCTCACGCAGGAGGAAGAGGGGGACTTTCCATTATTTCCAGTCACGTTGTTGTGCGTGTTGTGCGTGGCTCGCGTTGGTGTTTGTTCTACTAAACGTCTCCTCTTATAGACTGCTCTTGGATGAATTTCCTGATGAGAGATCCAGTCATACAGGGATCAAACATGGCATACCACCCGTTTATACCGCACCGGGGTCAAGACTTTGCCATGAGTGCTATGCTCGGGCACCAGCCTCCCTTCTTCCCGGCCTTGGCGCTTCCTCCGAGCGGGTCCCTGTCTCTGCCTGGCGCGCTGGGGAAGCCGATCATGGAGCAGCTGATGGGGGCTGCGGAGAGCGGGCTGCACTTCAGCTCTTTGGGACACCAGGCTGCGGCTGCTGCTGCTGCTCACATGCGGCCCCTGAAGACCCTGGAGCCCGAGGAGGAGGTGGAGGACGACCCCAAAGTGCATCTGGAGGCGAAGGAGCTTTGGGAGCTGTTCCACAAGAGAGGGACAGAGATGGTCATCACCAAGTCCGGAAGGTGTGTGTGACAGTGTGTGTGTGTGTGTGTGTGTGTGTGTGTGTGTGTGTGTGTGTGTGTGTGTGTGTGTGTGTGTGTGTGTGTGTGTGTGTGTGTGTGCGTGCGTGCGTGCGTGTGTGTGTGTGTGTTGAGAGCCAAAATTAAAGCTATTTTGTTAACGCCATTTTTAGGAATTAAATAAAGTGCTAAATGCTCTCACTTTGTACCTTTAGGATCATCTCTCTTAATCTATTTATCCGTTAATCTAAATACACAGAAAACACACACTTTCACTTTTACACTTGATACTTTTTACGTCTATAATGCTTTGTGTGAATAGAACACACCAAAGTCAACGCAATCTTTAAAACATTTCTCTCCAGGACAATAGGTCTGAGTCCTGGATCAGTCCTGTGTTATTCCATATTTATTTTGGCTTTGAATTTATTCACTACAATTTATTACACCCGTGTTTTATGTTGTTTAAAAGTGTATGACCAAAGAGGAGCTCGTGCGTAATTTAAAAAGGAAACGTAATAATAATGATAATAATAAAAAACTGGGAGTATTTACAGTAAAAGTTCAAAGTAAAGAACCAAAAGAATCCACTCCATCTGTGCTGAGCTCTTCCCCTTTCACCTCCAGAAGGAAAACTAAAAAACGCGTATTATAAAAAGTTAAAACTTTGACATCTCGTGGTTAAGTTTGAAGCAAAAATATCTGACAAACTTTCTCTTCTTCCTCTTCTTCGTCTTCCTCAGGCGGATGTTCCCTCCGTTCAAAGTGCGCTGTACAGGTCTGGACAAAAAGGCCAAATATATTTTACTCATGGATATAGTCGCGGCGGACGATTGCAGATACAAGTTCCACAACTCCCGGTGGATGGTGGCGGGGAAGGCCGACCCGGAGATGCCCAAACGGATGTACATTCACCCGGACAGCCCCGCCACAGGGGAGCAGTGGATGTCCAAAGTCGTCAATTTTCACAAACTCAAACTGACCAATAACATCTCGGACAAGCACGGATTTGTAAGTTCAACTAATGTATGTCAATTTTCTATTTTTACCACCATCATTACACTCTCACTGTGTTTCTGCTGTGTCTCTGTGGCTAAGGCTCAGCGTGGTGTTGGTGGCGCACAAAGTCTCGGTCCAAATGTGACGCTGCGTAAAGCCCCGTGCATTGTCACCTACTTTTTTACCAATTACGCACAAATTTTAATCTATTCAAACAAAATATAGACTACGTTTTTACGTCTCACACTGAGGGGGATGTCCACGTTGTAGCGCACGTTCAGGGCTGTAGCAAAACATACAAAATATACAAAAAAGTCGCTGTTTATACTGATATCCTCACATATATATAGTATTATTTACATTCAGCTCATAGGTAGAAGAAACCTCAGTCTGATCCCGCTGCCTGTGTGTGTTACTAAAACTTGCTATTCATTCATTAAAGTGGATTTGCTTTTATCCTTTATGGCTAATCTCGGACTTAAAGTGTGCAGCCAAACGCCACGCTGATGCGACTGCTGCTTCCCTGCATTTACACATATATATATTTACACATTTACACATTTATAGACCCGCGGCTTCTGCTGCACGCTTCTGCTTCATGAGTGCGTTGTGTGTGTGTGTGTCTTTCTTCCCACAGACGATCCTTAACTCCATGCATAAATACCAGCCTCGGTTTCACATTGTTAGGGCCAACGACATCCTGAAGCTGCCCTACAGTACGTTCAGGACCTACGTGTTCCCAGAGACAGACTTCATTGCGGTGACTGCGTATCAAAACGACAAGGTACACACACTCTGGGCTGCACCATTTTGTCCTGATGAAATATTCAGGCTTGTGGTGGAGGAGGTGGTGGTGTGGATATGGACGCGGTGGTGTTGCCCATTCAGCTTTTTCCTCACAAAATATGTCCGTGTGTGTGTATATATATATATGAGCCTGGCTTTGGCCAAACCCCTGCAGCCCGGGCTCATGCTGCTGTGTGTCCGAGAGAGAGAGGGGGAGAGAGGGGGGAATGAGACGCTCCGGAGCACGCCTGAATGGAGGAGAGAAACTGTGTAAATGATTTTTGTTTTGGGTGTTTTGGCCCTTTTAAGCCACGTCCTGGTCTCGTTTCTCTTGTGTTTGCGCGCTATATTTAATACTTTATTCAATTCAATGTATTTGTACACAGCCCTAAATCATATTTAGCCAAGGACTTTACAAACTTCAACGCCAACGCAAGATAGATAATTAAATAATGATAATAAAAAGGTTCAAACGTATAGAATTAATGTGAATAAAATACGGGTCCATAAAGGCAGATGACCGGTGTTCATAATTGTTAATAAATGTTGTTCTGCCTCATGAAGAGAAAAGTTTGAAAAGGAGAAACACGCACAAGGCTAAGATAAGATAAGATTGCTTTATTTATCTCACAGAGGAGAAATTTACAGACTGGATTAGATTCACTTGTTGTTATTTTCAGAAAAGTCCGATGCAACTATAGTCTATAAGGTTCAGAGCAGGAGTGAGACCGCGCAGTCTGGGATTATATTTACTACACATGTTTATATCTGTGTCTGAGCCTATATGATGGAGCCTCCGCGCGTGCTTTAAGGTCCAAACTAAACCAGTCTCAACTTTGCTCTTTTCAGATCACGCAGCTCAAAATTGACCATAATCCATTTGCAAAAGGATTCCGAGACACAGGCAACGGCAGACGAGAAAAAAGGTGCGTGTGTGTGTGGGTTTTTGTGGGTGTGCGTGTGTGTGCGTGTGTGTGTAGGCTTAGTATCAAGGACATTTATGGACATGTATTAATATTTATGGGCCATAGTCATCTGCTTCCTCTGCACTAAAGCTCCTGTATGTAAATGTAAAATATTATGATGTATCTTTAAGTTTTTTATTGCATGCATTCGAACTGGATTCTCTAATCTGTTGTTGGCAAATCCACAACTTTGTACAGTTCAAGACGGCTGCTGTTGTTACATATAGTTCTATACACAAACACATAAAATTGGATAAAGTCTAAAGTCATGTATGTGTTGTTATAAGTCTCGCGTTCGGACTGGATTCTCTAATCTATATTGGCGCATCCACAACGTTGTAAAGTCCTCACAAACACACAAAACTGGAACATAATGTAGTGTCTGTAAAGTCTCATGTATGTGTGCGTGCGTGTGTGTGTAGGAAACAGCTGGCCCTGCAGTCCATGCGCGCGTACGAGGACCACCAGAAAAAAGACCCCGCAGCGTCTGACGAGTCCTCGGGAGAACAGGCGCCGTTTAAGGGCTTCGGTCCGGCCTCGTCCCCCGCGGTGTCCACAGCGGGGCACCATCACGTCAAAGGTACGTGACGGACGCGCGCACATGCACCACGGGGTCAAACGTGAACGTGTGTGGGTTCGAGTCTCGTTTGTTCTGCGCGTATGAGACACATTTAACACATTTTTAAGGACGTATTATTCAAACAAAATGGTTAGATTCAGCGTGCGTCATGCGTCATGCGTCATATTGGAGTGTGTTTTTTTTTTCTTATTCAGGCCGTAAACATTACAATAGTGGATAAATTACAGTCATTTTCAAGCTGTATTTCTGTTAATAAAACTAAACGTTTAACGTAAATCTGTAAATTATCATGTAAGTTTGTTCTGTGTTTCTTTGGTCTTGTTTGTCACGGCTCAAAATAAACTATTCATTCATAAAGATAAGATCAGATGGACTTTATTGATCTCACACTGGAAAAATATAGATATACAATAAATTCACCGCAGATTATTGGATAAGACACATCAAACAGTTTGAGTTTATTTCATGGTCACGAATGACACTGATCTAAATTCAGCGTCAGAGACAGAAACGCAGTGGATCCTGCTGGAGCTGGAGCTGGAACTGGAGCTGGAGTTGGAGCTGGAGTTGGAGTTTGTTTGAATGATCACACGTTTCACTCTTTTTACCGAGTCTTATGTGATGCCAAATGGAAGAAAAATTCAGCGTAATTCTTATTAATTGATTGTGATGTAGCCTTACGCACTGAGCCTTACGCACGGCCTTACGCACTGAGCCTTACGCACTGAGCCTTACGCACGGCCTTATACGCACGGCCACATGGTATAAAGTATGGTACTAAATGTGCTGCAAAGTGTCATCATTGTGTTCTATAAATGTTTCAAACCTGTGTATACAGACTTAGACTGAGACTGTTCTGATCCACGGGGACATTGCGTTGTCACAGTCACATGTTCCACAATAATATTAATAAAGTCACGATCTGAAAATAAGAATAATGATCAGATAATATTGTGAGAACAGAATAATATGGCCGTACGTCTGAGTGTGACTGACGCATGATTCTGGTTTTGTTTAGACTTCGTTGACAGTGACGAGGACAGCGACGACGACAGCAAAGACGAGCACCTCAAAGACGGTCCGGACTCCAACCGGATCTCCACGACCACGGAGGAGCTGCGGGACCTGCCCCACGAGGCCAGCCCGGCCAAGTGCCACCTCTTCAGGGACACCGACTCCCACAGTGGCTCACGGACTGAGAAAAGCCACGCAGACTCCCGCCAGAGCCCGGTCACCGTCATCTCCAGCACCACGCGCTCTGCGGACGACGTCAAAAGCCTCGCAGCGGAACCGGCCAAAACTACCGACTGCCGCTCTCTCAAGGACAGCTTCATGCCGTTAACCGTACAGACTGACAGCGCGCACTTGGGAGCCCAGCACGCGCACATGCATAACTTTGGGTTCCCCCCGGGTTTGAGCGGGCAGCAGTTCTTTAACCACCTCGGGAGCGCGCACCCGTTCCTCCTGCACCCGGGGCAGTTCAACATGGGGAGCGCGTTCTCGAACATGGCGGCCGCGGGGATGGGTCCCCTCTTGGCGGCCGTGTCCTCCGGAGGGGTGGGCGGCCTGGAGGCGGGCAGTATGGCCTCGCCCCAGCAGAGCATGGCGGGAGGACCGGGCCTGCCGTTCCATCTGCAGCAACACGTCTTGGCATCACAGGTAAAACCAGTTCATCACACGCGCGTGCACGAGGCTCAGGTATTTCAGCTCCGGATCCAGGTCTGAGTCTGAGTCCGGATCCAGATCTGAGTCTGGTTTAGAGTCAGAATAAACCGTGTTTCTGTGGCTGTGGCTGAAGCTGCCAGAGAGAGAGACCAGAGAGAGAGAGAGACCAGAGAGACAGAGAGAGAGAGAGACCAGAGAGAGAGAGACCAGAGAGAGAGAGAGACCAGAGAGAGAGAGAGAGAGAGAGAGAAGAAAGAAGGAAAGCTGTAAACTGGTGTCAATGTTATTAAAGGTACTGTTTATGCAGTTTTCCCATGAGTCACTTAAGGCGCTGGCTTTAATAAAACTTCTCTCTTTCTTTGTTTCTTTCTCTCTCTCTCTTTCAGTTTATCTGTCTCTCTTTCCTGCTGTCTCTCTCGCTCACTATCTGTCTCTCTCTCTTCCTCTCTTTCTCTCTCTCTCTCTCTCTGGTCTCTCTCTCCATGGTCTTCCTCTGTCTCTCTCTGGTCTCTCTCTCTCTCTCTCTGGTCTCTCTCTTTAACACAAACAGACAGAATAGATGTTGTGTGTGTAAAGCCAGTTGATATTTGTTCTTTATTGTATCATGTACTAAATATTTCTTCTTCTTCTTCCATGGGGTCAAATCTCACCACAAAACTTCACACGTTAGTGAAGAATTGGGTGTTTATATTTCAGAGTAAAGTTGTTTTATCCCAGACATTATTAAGGTACATTCTCTTCCGTGTTTTCACAATAGTAATGAACGACACAATTACACGGATTCGATTTGTTTTCACACTGACCCTGACACTGACACAGACACAGACACTGACGCAGACTCTGATACTTACACTGACACTGACACTCAAACTGACACTGACACTGACACAAACACTGACACAGACACAGACGCAGACTCTGACACTTACACTGACACTCAAACTGACACTGACACAGACACAGACGCAGACTCTGACACTTACACTGACACTGACACTCAAACTGACACTGACACAGACACAGACGCAGACTCTGACACTTACACTGACACTCAAACTGACACTGACACAGACACAGACGCAGACTCTGACACTTACACTGACACTGACACTCAAACTGACACAGACACAGACGCAGACTCTGACACTTACACTGACACTGACACTCAAACTGACACTGACACAGACACAGACTCTGACACTTACAGTACACTGACACTGACACTCAAACTGACACAGACACAGACTCTGACACTTACACTGACACTGACACTCAAACTGACACTGACACAGACACAGACTCTGACACTTACAGTACACTGACACTGACACTCAAACAGACACAGACGCAGACTCTGACACTTACACTGACACTGACACTCAAACTGACACTGACACAGACACAGACGCAGACTCTGACACTTACACTGACACTCAAACTGACACTGACACAGACACAGACGCAGACTCTGACACTTACACTGACACTGACACTCAAACTGACACAGACACAGACGCAGACTCTGACACTTACACTCAAACTGACACTGACACAGACACAGACTCTGACACTTACAGTACACTGACACTGACACTCAAACTGACACAGACACAGACTCTGACACTTACACTGACACTGACACTCAAACTGACCCTGACACTGACACAGACTCTGACACTTACACTGACACTCAAACTGACACTGACACTGACACTCAAACTGACACTGACACAGACACAGACTCTGACACCTACACTGACACTGACACTCAAACTGACACTGACACTGACACTGACACAGAGACAGACACCGACTCCGACACCGACACCGTGTTGTTACTGCGCAGAGACCGGGGATAGTTTAGTCACATTTATTCATTTTGATCCTTCCACGTGCTTGCTCCATGTTTCCCTGGATCCACTGCGCAGTCTCCCAAAGTTCACACGCACGGATTAAGCACGTGTCAGTGATGGTTTCACTGATGATCCAGGACTCTCCGCATTCAATGAAAGGACTTTAGAAACATATTTGGATCTTTGCGTTTCGTGTCTAAACTCTTTGATTCTTTGATCTGTAAAGTCTGAGATTAAACTGTTGTGATTCAGGGCGTTTCAGAAACACTTGTAACTGATCTGTCTTTGCCTCTGTGTGCGTGTGTGTGTGTGTGTGTGTGTGTGTGTGTGTGTGTGTGTGTGTGTGTGTGTGTGTGTGTGTGTGTGTGTGTGTGTGTGTGTGTGTGTGTGTGTGTGTGTGTGTGTGTGTGTATGTGTGTGTATGTGTGTGTGTGTGTGTGTGTGTGTGCGTGTGTGTGTGCGCGCGTGTGTGTGTGTTGCAGGGCCTGGCCATGTCCCCGTTCGGCGGCCTGTTCCCGTACCCGTACACGTACATGGCAGCGGCGGCGGCGGCCTCCTCTGCAGCTGCTGCCTCCTCCGCGCACAGACACCCGCTCCTGAACGCCGTGCGGCCCCGTCTCCGGTACAGCCCCTACCCGCTCCCCATGACGGCCCCGGACAGCACGCTCCTCACCACCGGTCTCCCCCCGCTGCCCACCGGGGGAGGCTCCGAGCTCAAGGCCAGCGGCGGCAGCCCGGTGTCTGCGGGGCTGGACTCTACGTCAGAGGTGACCAGTCATTCGTCCAGCACGGTTTCCTCCGGCTCCGCGCTGTCCCCAAAGACTGTGACGTCAGAGAAGGACGTGACGAACGAGCTGCAGAGCATCCAGCGGCTGGTGAGCGGCCTGGAGCCCGGGCAGGACCGGTCCCGGAGCGGATCCCCGTAGGCCCCATGCCGCTGTTTCTGGTTTTGAAGATGAAGATTCTTTGTTTGGACATAACCGACGAGTTCAGTTGCAAAAACAGACATTTGTCCGTTTGGAAAAATGTGTGAAAAAGTTGTGTTTGAATCCACGCGACAATCAAGATTAAGATTAATTTATTATCATGTCCCAGCGGAAACTTGGACATGTTTGTTTTTAAGATTAACATTTAAACAGATCCCACTGCGGGAAGTGTGTCAAAATGTGTCAAACGTTGTTCTCCAATCCTCACGCGACAATCACTCACGTGTTTCTGTTTTGGCTAAAATCATTTAACTCCATATTTATTACATCACGTGTTACACATGCTCAAGATGATGGGATTGACCCCAAAAACAGCGACACTGTTGGAGGTTCAGAGCCCTTTGACCGCGCGCAGGAGAAGACGTGGTTGCGTTACGTTGTGGCAAAGACGTAGATCTGCTTTCCACAAAAAAACCACTTTAGGAGCGGACTGCAAACCTCGCGTGTCTGTTTTTGCAAATGTGCTCCTCGTAAATAGATTGACGTCATTATAAACAAAACTATTTGACTTTCTGAAATTGCACTTTGGTTTAAAACACTCGCTATATTTGTTATGACTTGTTTGTTAAATTAAGCCACACTTGATTCTTGTTTCTATACCACATAAGTATTGGATGTCAAAGACTTGGGGGGTGGGGTGGGGGAGTGGGGGGTCCACGCGGGGTGACGTCAGGGCCTCATAAACTGCTGTATTTGCATCTGGCCTCACGCTGCATGCCCCTAAACGTCACATTTATTATTATCATTAGTTATTATGGGATAAGGCTCGTCTTGTCTTCTGCAGTAAGTTGTGTGGTTCTTTGACACCAAACTCTCGCGAGATAGCCACGGGATTACCTCACCTTGACCTGTGTAAAAACCAGCTCAGACTTACGTAAAACCATCGCTATCATTAACCAATCACTACTTTATAGAAATATTGTTTTTATTTCTTATTTGTGACTAAACCCGTAGCCCTCGCACGCGTCTAATGCAAAGGGAAGCTTATTTTTACCAAGTCCATGAGAGTACTAAATAAATGAAGTATTGAATAGTGGTGTACATAAGGATAAAAACACATATTTATGTAATTATGTCATACTGTTTTTGCGTGTATATACAACAATAGTACGTTTTTTCTTTGGGATCTGTTTAATTTATTGTACTGTGGGCCCGAGCCGCGGCCTGTCCCCAGACCGCGGCTCTCACCGTCTCTTACGTCACCACGTTTACGCCCTACTTTATAGAAAAAAGAGGATTTCTAAACTAAATGTTTCACTCTCTGTCTCTCTGTCGGTCTCTCTCTTTATCGCTGTCTCTCTCTCTCTCTCTCTCTCTTTATGCTGTCTCTCTCTCTCTGTTTCTGTCTCTCTCTCTCTTTCTTTCTCTGTGTGTCTCTCTCTTTCTCTCTCTGTGTGTCTCTCTGTCTCTCTCTCTGTCTCTCTCCATTCTGTCTCCACGTGTTCTCTTTCAAATGCAGAAATGGCTCGCACTGTCTTCTCCTGTTTTTATTTTTGATGAACTCCCAGAGCAGTCAATTTGACGCCTAAACGTTTTTTGGGAAGCGTAATTCCGTCGTGACGTTTTCTGTTTCTTTATGTAGATTATTTCTTTGTCATTATTTTATTTTTGACTCATTTTGAATCGGAGCAGAAGCGCTCGTTACCATAGCAACACACTGTTGAGCACTTATTAAAAGCGAGTAAAGAATAGAATCAAACCTGAAACTAAACTCACTTGGTTTGAATGGGAGCAGTCAAAATGACGGCTCTGGGAGTTCTGACCGTTTCATACTTCTGAGAGTGTTTTGTTTGTTTTTTCCAACTCTTCTTTCCCTGAACCTCAAACCAAGGCCCGAGCGCCGCTTCTTTAATCACGTCAAAAAAAGCAGAAGGGTTTTAGTGTTTTCATAATTTCATTCTCTCAGAGTTTGTCTCGTTTACATCGTGACGGTTTCAATAAAAATTTCAAATGTCATTGTGGGAAGTGAGTCCTGTGTTTTTATTTGGAAGAAACACACGATTTTAACACATTATTGACACATTAGACAACAGTCTGTGGACATGGTTTTTTACACTCAAAAAAATGATTTTTGGGTGTAGTAATATATACTAACTCAAAAGTAGTAGTTTCTACCTATAATATCAACTTTCAGCAAAAACTAGTTAAAAACATAAATATTTACACAGTATATTCAGGTAATTAATTAATTGAGTGGAAAGAGTACATCTTACTAGAGATTTGCTCGTACCATTTACATGATTTATTGTCATAGCACCAAAACCTGAAAAAATCAAGTAACTTTTAACTATTGGGTGAAGTAGTGACGCTACCCAGAATGCAATGCAGAGAAAAACATAAACTTCTGAAAAAATCTACATTTGAGCATTAATTTTGAGGGTGAATACAAAGCAAGTCTTAAAACAAAATACGTGAGCAACATTTTGAACAAACAAATTTGACCAAATGAAAAAATTTAAATATATTTTTACCAACCATGATCGACATGGCCAAGTCAAAGTATGGCTTTACTTCCTGGGTTTGTCACTAGATCAAACGTGTATCGTATGTGTGCCACAGAGTCTGTACACTGTACCACCTGTCGCTGAGCTCTATTTGAATAATAAATATTATGACATCCATGATACAATTAAAGTGGAACAACCCAAAAAGCATGTAAATAATAATAATAATTTCAACAGAAAAATTAAGTAATATCTACTTATTCACTTCATAACAGAAAATGATATAAACAAGTAAGATTTACCTAATATTTTAATATCTGATATTCCTGTATGAAAATAATTGCATAACATTTACATAATATCCTCACAAAGTTTAAGGTTAGTAGTAAGTACATTGTACTTGATACTGGCAAGTAAGTTATACTTGATATTACAGCATTAAAATTACTTAGAAATTTTGAGTGCAAATACTTACAATGATTTTATTAAGTAAATTCTACAAGTCATTTCTTTGAGTGTAGTTTCACTTTCAGATTCAGATTGACGTCATTTGCAGTAAAACCACATTGGAATAAACGCACAGGGGGACCTCAGTGTGCACCAAACATGTATTGTATTTAAACAAGCTAAAAATGTACAGTTATAGAATAAGAATCTGGCCCAAAATCCCAGCGCGAAGATGCAGACCCTTTAAATCCAAAACCAAACTAGCCATTGATGCTAACGCCGTTGTGGGTAACCTAAACATGTAATTATTCAACCCGAAATCTTTAGTTTTGCTGAGAGACAGTGAGGAGGGTCACGGACACACGCTCCCCTCTTAGAGAAAATAAAATAAAATAAATTATTTTTGTTCTCTGTCAAAATAAATTATCACTCAATTCAAATAATATGGGTTTGCAGAAGAGTGTGATGGATTAAGATTAAAACAGATCCTTTATTCGTTCCACAGCGAGGAAATGTCAGTGTTGCATCACAGGTATGAACAATAATTCTACACTAAAATAAAATAAACCCTAGCTTAAGCAAAATAAAAATCTCTAACTTTAACAAAATAGATGCAGGTCTAACATGTAGTTCTGTGGAATGTGCATCTTGCGCATGCGCAGACCTGGACATACTTATTGCTTTATGGCGCTCTTGTGTCTCGAGTTGATTCTCTCCGTATCTTTATTTGTGTATCGTGTGGTTAATGTGTAGCCGCCCGTGGCTGTAAACACACACACGGATGATACACGCCGTCTCCATGTGCGTGTCTTATTGCTCACCTGGCGCCTCCGCTCGGCCCTATCTCTGCTTTACTGCACCAAAGGCGACGATGGGTCTGTATTAACATGAGGGCCCCCAGGGGCCACGCGCGGGGCCGTTTGGATAAGAGCAGGTCTGTGATAACGCCATGTAGTCATTGTTGTGCACTTGTGTTCTAAAGCATGAAAAACACACATACACACACATAGACACACACACACACACATATACACAGACACACACACACACACACATATGTTCTACATCTACTACAGTAAAGCTATAGGCGGATGTTCCACTTCCGGGTGGATCATCAAGACTATTGGTCGGCTGAATAAGACCAGAGAGTTCAGTTCAAAAAGAGAAAAGGGACATTTGGGAAATTCTTCTTTACTTTAAAACACATGGACATTGGTCATTCGCCTTTATGTGTCCTGTATCATTGTGTTTTGATTTTCTGATCTGCTGTTGGAGAATCGGCAGCTTTCTTTAGTCTACCCAGATATGATTTAGGGACATTTACAAAAACACATTTAATTTAATTGAAGAGAATTGAGCAGAACAACGGGAACTGTTCAATCACAAGAAAAGATATACGAGTCATTATTAAAACATTATAATAATGAAAAAATAAAGGAGGATTTTCTACTTCCGGGTGGATCATCCAGACGATTGGTCTTTATGTCAATCATTAGTTACACGTGCTCCTCAAATAAGAGCAGAGAGTTGTGTTCACAAAGAGAAGAGGGCTCCTCTATCTTTAACGTTTTAGGAAAAGCCAGATTTGTGGTGCACGTGCAGCGTCACTCCTGCTGCAACAAATGCTTCATATTTACTGCCAACAATAAACATGTAGTTTGTAAAAAGGAAGAAAGACAAAAATAGTTTTTGACTCTCATTTCCAAACCAGAGACTGAGCAGAGGTCGCGGCAGGTGTGAGGCCCGCCCTGTATCTGGACTTTAAATCCACACCTCTGACTTGTATGTACACGCAGCATGACGTCACCCACGACCCTGACGTCACCCACGACCACAACATGCCCTGGTTCGTGTAGAATAGAAGAAGAAATAACATCCTACAGTAACAGACACATGCGGCTTATACAGAAACCTCGCATCTGTTTACTTCTCACTGAGTTTCTCTTTGGAATCCGTGCCAGACAGAGACAGACCCGGCTCGGCTTGGTCCAGTTCACATTCAACACCGACTCCAAACACACGATGGTCTGGTTCCAAAGACAAAAGGTT